AAGAGCAGGGTAGAGGAGGAGCTCAAGTTTTTTGGTGACTCTCCAGCACATCAGGATAATGTGAACCGCAGAGCAGCTGCAGGAGGACGAGGAATGAGTTCTGGTGAAGCCCATAGAAGAAATGCAAGAGCAAGTGCTGGATCTGAGAACAGCTTTGAGCGATCACCACTCCATCCACAGTCGAGGGTCACAGGGAGGGGAGGTGGGGTTTCATCTCCCTCATGGGAAGGAAGGGGTTCACATGAAAATAGCCATGGCACTCCTGGAAGATCTCGACTCAGACCCAAGGGCGATAACAGTGTAAACTTCTTCCTCCTAGATTGTTCCATTTTCGTATCTCATAATAACTTTGAGAGTAATACCTGGAACAGCTTGAAAAATTCTAAAGCATTAAGCATCTCACTTGCAATAGGGTGTGGTTGCATGCACATTAGGAAATTCATCTACACACAAAACAATGAAGTGTTTAAATTTCATGCTTTTTGGTTGGTTGGGGTGGGGCAAATACCTTTACCAAAGATCGAATTTGTTCTGATTGGCAGCTTACGCATGTTTTGCTGAAAAGTCTTTTCACACCATTGAATGTTTTTCCTCTATTCAGTGCCTTCAGTTTGAATTTACATTTTGTAACTCCAGATATTCTATAACTTCTTTTTTCCCTCTTGGGAACTAGCACTAGGTACTGCCTTAGTTCTCTTTTATATAATGTCCGCTGTTAGCATTACTGAAGTACAAAGGGATTCTTCAAAAATCGTGTTTAAAATTTATCCCTTCTATGCTATTGGTATTTTAGCCTGATAAAGGTGCTGCTGTTCCAAAATTTGGTGAATGGGATGAGAGTAACCCTGCATCAGTTGATTGTTATGAAACTATTCTCACATTGCGGGAGGAGAGAATTTTTGGGGGAAGGGCACCAGGCATGCCAAATGAATCACATCACCCAAACACCCGGCAGCCTCCTCAAACTGATGGTGTTAATGTATGTTCTCAATATCTATTCCTCACCGAGTATATTTGTCTTTTAGCTTCTTTTTTTTCTTTGTTCTGTTAAAATAGGAAGAGCCTATGTTAACAGGCTGACAGGGAAAAGTCCAAAATCAGCAGCAGCTTGAAGAGGGAACCCGAGCTCAGCAACTTGAATAGGAAAGCCCGACCAGAAGCACGTATGATCCAGCCTGCAGAGGAAAGCTCACGCAGAAATCTTTTTTGAAGAGAAGAAGACTGCTTAAAGAGGAATGTAAATATATGTGTGTGTGTATTTGAGAAACGATATCATGTAATTATGGTGTAGAAATATCATACTATTTAAAACAATCTGGGGTATAAATACATAATTTGTAGAAAATGAGAAGCATCGAGAAAAATAAAAATCCCTCTCTTCAAAACCGTAACGGA